TCTCGGACGGACTCTCTCTCAAGACGACCAACAATGAGCGCTGGTGCCAGAGTGAATTAGTACCTCTACCCGTGACACACGCAAGACAGTTCCAGCTTCACAGCTAGTGGTTCAGTTTGTGGCGGACAGCCACAATGCCTATCCCGCCTTCGTTCTGCAAGGCTCGCTGCCCCAAAGTCGTGTCGTCACAAACAACTGTTAGAATGCTTTCTTTCACTGGCACCCCCTTCTCCCGAGGCTTGACCTCGCAGCTGCTTATGGCTAACCAATAACAGCAGCGTCAACGCCCCCTGTTCTTCGGCGTGCCGGTGGACCCGAAATTTGACCTCTACTTATTCAGCCACACACTCACGTGCGCACACACCCACGTAAGACGTGCGTCCAAATAAGCATGCCTGCCTAAGTGCCATTTGACTAAGACATCTCTCGGCCGATGCAGCAAAGACCTTTGCAGGCGACATCTCTTCGGGCAACTTGCAACACACCAATAGAAAACCACTTGAACTTGCTCCGCAATGCTACTAAAAGCAGCCGTCATCACCCCACACAACACACAGTCGACACTCTCAGGCCTGCCTGGACGCAGTCGGAACCAGCCTTGACATCGCCAGTGGCCACTGCCACCTGAGACTGCAATTGGGAGTTCTGTATACAATAAACCCCTCATTCTGGTGACTGTTGCTTTTCACTCCAACCTGGGATTCGACCCGAGGATTGTAGTGATCTAGGCACAACCATTACTTAGACCCCTACAAGTTGTCGAGATAGCGCCAACGCCAGCGCCTTTTTCTCCCAGCTCCCCCAATTGAACTTCACAGGAAGCAAATACGCAAAAAATTGTCATCCTAGTGTGTTTGAGTGTGTTTAGGTGTACACAAACCACAAAAAAGAGAGAAAGTTAATGTATGAAATACACACAGCCATAAATGTGTAGGAATGGGCAAGAAGTCAGGGTATGTGAAAAAAAATCCCAAAGGTACAGGGCAGTTTTGCGTCCTGGTTACGTTGTATATTAAAGTATAATCTATTAAAAATAGGAGAAAGACGAGTATTTTAAAATGGACGGCAGACTGCTGAATGAATTCAGCAATTGACTTCCTCTCCCTCACCCAGTGTCCCTCCTTTGAGGCAGAAACGCCTCGAGGGAAGTTTAGTTAACTGGCAGTCGGGAGGAAGGTGAGGATGGGGGTGCGGGTGCAGGGGGACAGAGAGGCAAGATAGATAGGCGTCCCGAGGAGTATATGCAAGGGCGCAGGTATCTAGGCGTGTTCGAGCAGTTCAGGATTATGCGTCACCACCTTCTCGAGGATCTGATCGATGTAGGCCCGCAATTGCATGTTCCCGAATTTCTCCTGGGTCCACAGATCAACAACCTACAAAAAAGGCAATCAAGTAAACTGGCTAAGCAAGCACGTTTCTACTTAAAACTGTAAAATCACATACTGTGATGGGTTGCATTTGCGTCGAAAGGAAACCAAGTTAAACCTGGAAGCGGGGCGCTCATTGGTTGCGTTAGCAAACACAGTCGTTCCATTGTGCCCTGGGCCTCCCTCTCGATCTCAACAGCAGCGCTAATAGCATAGACAGAAGAAAATTACGGACTCCAAATGGTGTACCGCTCGAGGCGATCGAGACACCACCCGTGAGTGCAAATCCGCCATTCTTCCCATTCACCACACGATGGTCCTAGTTCAACCTAGAGAGGCTCTCAATAGGAACTCCTAGTGGACGAAATTGGACTAGAAACTTGAATCTATTCGAATGCTTCGTTCTGCGGATCGACAGTAAGCTCTTTGTAAGTAACCATTTAAGTCTCCCTTGTCTCTGCCGGTAATATCGTATACAGTAGTCGCCGGTTATTAAGCCCACGGTTAATAGGCCCAGCCGCTTATCACAGTAGTCGCCGGTTATTAAGCCCACGGTTAATAGGCCCAGCCGCCTATTAGTCCGAGCTTTTAGCTATTAGAGTAGTCGCCGGTTATTAAGCCCACGGTTAGTAGGCCCAGCCGCGTATTAAGCTCAGTTTGGTCTGGGCCCGAGGTGGGCTTAATAACCGGCGACTACTGTATCATAATATATTAGCCGTTGAGCGACTGCTGACAGGGATTGAGAGAAAACTTCAAGGCACAACGGGACGAATGAGTTCTGTAACCCATACGAGCCCATAGTCAAAAAATGAGAGCATTGCACAATTCTCCCAGTTTATGTTCATGGACGCGTGTGGAGGCGGATTCTCCAATTCGGCCGTTTGCGTCTCCACCTCTCCCAAGTGGCCATGCGCCCCCTTGATACAGGACACACTTTTGGTCTGGGACAAAACTCTCATCGTCGGAGTTTGCCTTTCCAAAAAAGCCGAGAGTTTCTTCCGACCATGCACTCCGATGACTCAGGCATCAATCAGTACATTCAGTTAGAGGCCGTGTAAAAAAACTCAGGGGAAAATGAAAGAGACGAGAACCGATCAATTCAGACTGTTACAGAGATCGCAAACTGGCGCGCACACCAAATGACTATCGATTTTTTAAGCACGTTTGAAATTTTAACTGGTTTTTTTGCAGTTTCTCAAGTCGGACGACGGCCTGGAGACCCAGAGCCAAAAATTACTTAATACAATGTACTACTTTTCACAGAGTTGCTTTGCCTTCAAATAAATAAATACACATATATATATATATATAT